GTATCCTGCCTCCCCTGCCTGTGTCACTGGGTCCTGCCCCTCTGCTGTAAACCACTAGACCCTTTACGCCTCTCCCAGGGCAGGACTAGAACTCAGGAGTCCTGGCTCCCAGCCCTCTGCTCTAACCACTAGGGTTCACTGTGCACTAGTGGTGGGGCTTGGCTCAGAGAACCAGGGGGTTTGGGCAATTCCTACCCCTTAGCACGGCTGTGGGATGTAATTAAATAGCCGTCCTGATCGTGTAGACGGAATCACATGACAACATCCAAGTGACACCTCCGGAGATGGGCTTAAAGGATCTGGTCTACGCTCCCCGGTGTGACTGATTTATCAGTTGCCCTAAGCAGCCTCTCTCCTTTCCCTTCCCAGCTAGTAGCAGACCCAGATGGCTCTGAGACTCACCACGACCCGGCTGCTAAGATGCAGCCGCTGCCGCATGGCGGGGGGGGGGGGCACCCCGGCCACAGAAGGGTGATTAGAAGCAGGTGCAGCCTCTCCCAACGCCCCTGAGCAAGGCCCCCTGGAATGAATGTTATTTTAAAAAAACAAGGGGGAGGGACTGGAGCCCTGGGGGGAGTACGTGCCCCCTCCACCATGGACCCCCTTCCATGGAGGATCAGAGTCTGTCACAGCCCCACCTCGGCATCCCTAGCAGTAACTCTGCAGGGCCAAGAATTAGAAGCAGGTGCAGCCTCTCCCAACGCCCCTGAGCAAGGCCCCCTGGAATGAATGTTATTTTAAAAAAACAAGGGGGAGGGACTGGAGCCCTGGGGGGAGTACGTGCCCCCTCCACCATGGACCCCCTTCCATGGAGGATCAGAGTCTGTCACAGCCCCACCTCGGCATCCCTAGCAGTAACTCTGCAGGGCCAAGAACCTCCAAGGGGATTCCTCCAGCGTGGCACAGGGTCAGTGATTCTTGGTTTGCACTCTCGCGTCCTCAGCAGAGCAGGGATAAAATAACCCACCTGCCTGGCTTCTTGTCTGCTTTTCCAGAAAAGGAAACGAAACCCCAAGAGAAGACCCTGAAAGGTAACCGCCCCGATGAGAAAGGGCTTGTTTCCCCTGGGACAGCTGCAGAAACTGAAGACAACAGGATCGGAGTGTCTTTACAAATCCAGCAGCAGGAAGTGCACTAGCCAGAAGGGAGCGCTGGGGGAGGTTTAAAACGAGGGGTTCCCAGGGCCCGCAGATCAGGGGTTTTGGATTGAACTAGGTGCACATTAACACTTAAATCCCAGTGAGGGCTGGGCAGGAATCCACTTTAATGAATGATTCCATGCACAACGGCCTCTTACTCCTTACCCTGCTATCCCCCCCAGCTCTGACAATGCCCCCCAGACCTGACCTGCAGCTCCAACCCTGGGCTCCCCTCCCCAGTGTGATACCCATCACTCTTGACTTTTGGGAGTAATGTTCCCGTTTGTGACCTGCCTCTGGCTTGAGCAGATGAGGTATCTGGCCAGGCACTTCCCCTCTTCTCCCAGTGGGTGGGGTAGGGGAGGGGTTGACCTGTTAGGTGTGTATCCAGCTCTGGCTGTCTTCCTCCAGCCCCCAGAGCCCAGTTTGACTGGCGTGATCCCCTGCAGCTGGAGAAGCAGCTGACCCAGGAGGAGATCATGATCCGGGATTCCTTCCGCACCTACTGCCAGGAGAAGCTGATGCCACGAATTGTCATGGCCAATCGGAATGAAGGTGCCTGAAAGCCACCGCCGGGAATAGAACCTGGCTGTTCCAAAAGTCTGTGCCTCCACCCCAGGAAGCTGGCTGGGGTTGAGAGGCTGGCTGCAGTGCTAGCAGGGTGATGGCACAGCATCCTGCGCCATCTGATTGCGTCCGCTCTGTGCGCAGACCCACCCGTCCCAGAGATGCCCCTACCAGGTGGCGCTGTGCCATGGCTGCATGCAAACCGGAGGTGCCTGGGGGTGACTTCCAGACCCAGATTCTGCCTGCTGTTCTTCTGACTGTTCTTCTTTTAAAGTCAGTGGGTGACTCTGGGGAACCCAGGTCAGAATCTGGCCCGGAGCCCATCGCAATCAGGGTGCGACTCCAGGTTTACCCATTGGGACTGGAAGCTGCCTGTAGGTCTGTGGTGCCCCTCAGAGGCCTGAATCAAATGCATTTGGGGGAGGGGATTGCAGGTTTAATGCACTGCAGGGATCGTGTGCTGCTACGGGGAGAGCCAGTTGGGCTGAGTGGCTGGCACTCTCTGGGGAAGGGGGGAGGCTGCTCTGCCCTTTGACTCACAGACACTCTTGTCTCCTTCCAGTCTTTCACCGGGACATCGTGTCGGAGCTGGGGGAGCTGGGAGTCCTGGGATCCACCATCAAAGGTGAGCTGGCCCTGGGAGGGATTCCCCTCCGGCAGTGCTGCTGCCCGGTCTCCCACTGAGAAGGTCACTGGCCAGGGCAAGGTGTGGATCTGATTTTGAGGACCGTGGAGGGAAGGGCTGGCATGTCGGGGGGAGGGATCTCACCGGGTGTGAGGGACAGCAGCAGCCTGCCAGAGGGCACCATGTGCATGTGCTCACTTGGGGCTACGTAGTGGCCACATACCCCTTCCCTCTGACTTTCTCCAGCCACGCCCCCTCTGGGCTAGTCTCTGCCCCACCTCTTTGACTTGCCCCTCCAGTCATGCCCCCTCCTGGCTTGGCCACATCCACCTCTGCCCCATGCCTTGTGGCTGTGGGAGGCACAACATCTCCTGCCCTGTGGGGATGAATTGCACCAGCCCTGGGGGTCCAGGAAAGGGCCACACAGCCGTGCTGAATCCCCCCCCTCGCGTTCCTAGGGGCTCGTTCTCTAGCCCTGTGGCCTTGTGCCCAGGCGATGCAGCCCGTGGCTCTGTTTGGGAAGGCAGCAGGTGCCCATGAACTACCCCCCCGCGCACACGGTGTGGAGGCAGGAGCCCCCGCCAGCCCTTGGTGCTCAGGGTGGGGTGTGCTGAGGAAAGCCGCTTCCCAGCTCTCCTGGGGTGGGGAGGGGTCCTGGGGCAGAGTCTGGACCACTGGTGCTGATGATCGTGTTCCATCCACGTTCTGCCCCCGCCTCAGGTTATGGCTGTGCCGGCACCACGTATGTGGCCTACGGGCTGCTGGCTCGGGAGATCGAGCGCGTGGACAGCAGCTACCGTTCAGTCCTGAGCGTCCAGTCGTCCCTGGTGATGCACCCCATCAACGCCTACGGCACGGAGCAGCAGAAGCAGAAGTACCTGCCCCGTCTGGGTGAGTGAGTGGCAGAGCTGGGGCTCTCGCTGGCTAGAGCAGAGTGTGCATCCAAGACTAGGGGTGGGTGCAGATTAGACATTACATCACAATCTACATTACATCGTATTTAGAAAATACTGGACATTTATATTTTCTCAATTTGTTTCCCAAACAGAAAGCTCAAATACTGGACTGTCCAGTTCAAAACTGGACACCTGGCAGCCCTGTAGGCATTATCTAAGATCTATTATTTTCTTTCTCCATCAGGCCTTTTTATTTTGTATAATGTTCAGGGCTCGACAAATGCACTCGACTCTTCGCCCGTGGCGAGTAGATTTTATCATTTGGCGAGTGCAAAGGCGGACTGGCCCAGTGGGCGGTTGTGACGGGCTGGCCAAAGCCTGCACTACAGGCAGCGCGGCCCCATCCAATCCGCTGGCCAGGCGGAGGAGTGGAGCGCCGCTGGGAGGGGGAAGCGCAGTGATTCTCAGCACCGGGCTGCCTGTGTGCAGCTCCAGCACAAGGAGGCGGGGCACGAGCCAGAGGGTGGGATGCCGGCAGATGCCAGGATGGTGGCGTGACATGGCCCCACTGATTTTAAAGGGCCACAGCAGCTCGGCTCTGGCTGCATGTCTCCAGCAGCTGGCTGCGGCGCGTGGCGGAGCCAGGCCCCGCCCCACTGGCTCCAGTCCTGCCATGGCCCCAACCCCTCGCCAGCAAGAGACCGCTCCCTGCCAACTGCTTGGCTCGCTGCGCCCGCCCCGCCACCGCCCCTGCAGCCTGGATCCCCTGCTCACCCTCTGGCTCTGCGCTGCCCTTGCACCCGACACCCCCTGATCCCTGCTCTCCCTCCCCCCAGCTCTGTCGCCCATTCCCTGCACTGCCCCTAGACCCTGATCCCTCTGCCCCTCCCATTCCCTGCATCCTATTCCCCATGCCTCCACCACACACACTGCTCCCCTGTGTCCCTCTGCCTCTGTGCCTCCTGTTCCCTGCGCCCCCCCGCCCCTCCCCCCCACTGTTCCCTGCACCCCTCTGGCTCTGTGCTGTCCCTGCACCCTGTTTCCCCTGTGGGTTGGGAGTGAAGGGTGCTTGTCCATAGTGGGGGGCTGGACAGGGCAAGGAAAAGGCTGCTGTGACCCAGCAGTGCATGAAAGGGGGAGTTCACTTGAAGCGCCTTTGCCTTTATGGAAAAAAATGAATGAAAATGCTATTTGCTATTTATAGGGCTAAAATGCTGGGACAAAAATTAAAACAAACCAAAAAAAACCCATTGCAAAATGCAAATGTGTAAAGGACAACAACAAAAAGGGGGGGGAATGTTTTGCATGGCCCTGGGGGAGGGGAAGTGGCTGGGCTGGGCTGTGGGGAGGGGAGGGGAAAAACATGGGGAAGGGGCTTGTGCTGAGGGGAGGAGGTCAGGAGAAGAAGAAGAAGAA